AAATAACTCGCAAATATACAAGAGCCGTTTCCGTCCTATGATTTTTACGATATGCAGACTGAAACTCAGGATATAGTGAATGAGTCATCATATGGGTGTGTATCTGCTCGTACACCATCCTTTCAGTCAGCTTTGAAACATACTGCAGGTTGCTGACAGGTCTGTAATTTTTGTATAGAAGGTCTAGCCCAGACTTCTTCAGCAGAGGAAGAACAAGCGCACACTTCCAGTCATCAGCGAATAGCCCAGACTCAAGTGATAAATTGATCATTTTCGTTATGATCGGTAGAAGCACGTCAATGCAATCTATCACTAGGGATGTTGGCATAGGGTCTAGATTGCAGCTTTTATTTGCACTGCTATTGATGAGCTTGCGAACCTTCTCTTCCGTAAGGGGGCTAAATAGAAAATAGTGAGTAAAAATAGAAATGAAGTAAGGTAAATTGGATAAATAACTAGAAACTAATACATTTCTTCGCGAGCGTTAAGGCCATCTGGATAAATAGTGTTGCCTCTTGAAATTAAAAAAGCTTCCCTGGCCTTGCGTATCGAGTCTCTCTTGGAAAACACTTTTTCGTGTTTTTACGCAAGGCCAGGGAAGCTTTCTTAATTTCAAGAGGCAACACTATTTATCCAGATGGCCTTAACGCTCGCGAAGAAATGTATTAGTTTCTAGTTATTTATTCAATTTACCTAACTTCATTTCTATTTTTACTCACTATTTCTATTTTTATTGTTATCTCATTGTCAATCAAATTAATTTACATATTTCCGCTGTTACATCATACAGCTATCTATGAAGCATCACCCCAATTGTCTGTTAATTCCCACTGCACCTGAGGAAGGCTGGTTTGGCCAGCCGAAATATAGTGCTCCGTCTTAAAATTTACTTATCTACGTTGTATCGGTCTTGCCTCTATACTTATATTTAATAAGAGTACACGTGAAGCGATATAACAGAACATAGCCGAGGATTTTATCAGAGACCCTCCAACTTCGCTTTTTCTCTTGTGCATTGTTTTCACTACTTCGCTGGCTAACACCCTGTCTTTCTGTCGAAACCAGGCAACGATACTAAAAGAATATGGGCTGATGTTGTCTTGACAAAACTGAATCAACAGAAGCTTTTTCACGGGAAATTAAGATGATTAAAATTTGACACATTTTTGAATAGCAGCTCCAGGTGAGCTTGGACACAGAATTTGATTAAATAATGACATTTTGTTATTTGAATAGTTTGACTAGGAACACGTTTGATCTTTGAGGAGCTTTCAGTCTAAGTTTATTTTAGCTTAAGAAAGCCGCGAGGAGTTAAAGAAGTTGGACTAAATTTCACAAAAATGACGAGTTTGATTGCATGCGTAATTAAATTAAATTGAAGGGCAATACTTTTTTTTGCCTTTTCTTTAACTCGTGCGGAACTTTTGTGATTGCGAGATGTCCGGCTTATTAGGCAAGGTGAAAGCCAAGCTGAATACGCGAAATTATCATTGTTCGCTCTGCTTTGTTTTCATGAAATTTCACATACCAAATAATGTTATATGGTAATAAATCACAGTTTGAAACCGATGAAAACCTCTTCTCGCCTGAAGAAAATAAAAAGGAGATAGCAAAAGTCTGCTTATAATCTGGTAATGTAGAATTTCTGAGCTAACTTTCGGCAGCCCGTGCGAGTAAATTTTGCACCATGATAGGAACAAACTGCGAAATGGAAAAATTATCTTTAAACAAGTCTACGCATAATTTTATTAATGATTAAATCAATCAACATATTCAAATTCGGATTTATCTTAAGTTCGCAACCCCTTCCATATCCTAATTTTTATAATTGTTTCTCAATTAGATTAGGAATGGAATCCCTTCTGTTCAATTTTCGTCCCTTCCCAGACAATGTATTTTGTCAATACTCGAATTTGGAATATTTAAACAGCGGTCGCGTTAAAGGTTTCCAACAAAGCTCATTTCGGTCATGTTCATTTGCGTCGTGATAAATTCTCATAAGGTCCGACAAGCGCGAGTACCACTAAAAACTCTTTTCATTGGTGTCAAAGATTAATTTATGTTGAACGATGTTAACGAGCGAAAGTCGTCTTATCTTTTGTATTTAGTAAGACACCTTATAATTTAATGACACAAGAAATACTTGACTTACCTTTTATGTCCCCATACTTGTCAAATCCGATTGGAAAACCGAGCTTTCCGGTGAAGGACATATTTTTTATATAAGTGAGCACGTCCGATGCTTCAATTCCATTTGTTATACTGGGACAGTTACCATTTGTTAGCAGACCACGTCCTTTTTCGCACCTAATCATGTTATCGAGAGCTAAAGCGACAGAGTAAACTGCATCCATGACATTTGCGGCTTTGTTTAGTTCGAGTTTCGCGGCGTTTGGCAGCGTTGCGTCGCTCGAAAATCCATCGCATTTCACTTGGTGAAGCGACCTGTTTTGCTTTCCTCCTTCCGAACTATCGTTCAAATGTGCAATTCTTTCTTTACTACATCTGTACGTTCCTTGCCAATAATCCCCAAACCAAGGATTGTGCTCGGTGTTAGCAGGTGTCAACTGTGCCATATAATCCTCAAATTTTTTAATGTTTCCTTTACTTGGTACAACGCCTAACATTCCACCAACTGTTGAATCCCTGAACGATAATATGGAGTTCTTATCTCCCCATGAGTCCGTTCCTATCCATATTTTTCCTTCTACGCCTTGCCTTTCCGCTTCTTCCAAAAAGGCGTGCGCGTTTGGAATCTCGCAGAATAACACAACAACTTTGGCGAGTCTGTCTGCTTTTAAGGCGCCAACGATTGTCGATATCTGGGCTTTTGTTTCGGGTAAGGTGTAGTCGGGATGGAATAGTTCGTCGATAGAAATACACACATTCCTCGTTTTTATTTCTCGTTTAAACGCTTCGATTCCTAACCGTCCATAATCTTCGTCAGTGGCTATGGTAGATACGTAATTCCAGCCAAAGTAGCTCACAAGATCCGCCATGACTTGCGCTTGGATGTAATCGGGCGGGATCGTTCTAAGAAAGGACGGAAAGTTTGCTTTGTTGCTGAGCGAAGGACTCGTGGAAGAATAACTGATTTGCGGAATGGACTTCACCCCCAGTACGTAAGCTGTAGCTTTTGATATTTTTGAACCAGCTCCGCCAATGACAGCGACAATGGACGCGTTGGATCAGGACCCATTGTTGTGGGCACCGCTGCTGTAAATCCCTCCTCGATTAGTCGAAGAGAAGTCTAATGCGTTGCTCATCGCGAATTGTACCTCGTTCGCGCTATCCCGAATATCGTATCCTAAAGTAACGTTCGGCAAGATAGTCGAGTTGTTGTTTATTTCTTCAATTGCAAATAACATCGCTTCGACCCACATTAAACCGAACAAGTTCATTCGATAGCAGTTAACGGTCTCTCCGTGTACAGATTTGAAGACCTGAAAACGTTTATCATCACTCTTGCATTTCGTGGCGTTTTTCTCGCTCAAAAACACGGGGAATGACCCGCCTATGATGAAATCGGCGTTAAAATCTTGCACCCATTTTGGTGATCTCATCCCTGAGTTGTGTACGTCTGACTCGCAAACAACCAGTTGAAAAAGGAAGAAGCACAAAGTTATTTTGTGTCCTCGTAGAAGAAGGGCAAACGCCATCTGGAATCACTGGGGCGTTTTTCGCCTATTCCAGAATTTTTTTTCACCGTATTTTTTTTCGCTCGTGTGACGCGCAGATCACCAGATATGTGTAGCTAGACAGCGTTTCATAGGCAGAAAAATGTGTGCAGTCTGCAATTAAATACTCTCATCAATCTATTATTTAATTACAAAATAAACGATTTATACTGTCTCCCAAGGAGGTTAAGAAACAAACAGAGACAAGCAACGAGAGAAATTTTAATACCGACTTTTAAAAGTCCCCCTTGAAAGAAAAACAAGAATATCAATTATGCTTTGTCTTTTACTCGTTGCTGTTTGAAAGTGTGGGAAATATTTTTTCCACAGTGCAGCTTTCTAAGTTTGATTATTTTAACAGCCGTTTGCATTATGCAATTTCATTACATTTACTTACGATTATATTTCAGTGAGTTTTTTTAGGCTGTTTCAATTTCAGCAAGTTATTGTTTGCCTCATTTGCTCCTTAAGCAAACGCAAAGAAACCGAAGGCTTTTAAAGATGGTTGTAGATGGCCTAAATGTGATAACTGTCCTAAATGTAAAAATAAAATTTGGTCCGAAATGTAATAAAGTCCTAAATGTAATAGCACTTCGTCCTTAATGCAATCAGCCTTCGATGCATTCATCAACGGACTTCAGTATAAGGGTTTGCAATGCTTTTTTACTTACGTCTCTAGCAAGGTAAGAAGCTGATTGACATCGGTGCGAGCCCGTGATATTTCATGCACACTGGTCAGAGGATTCTTTGGTACGACAGCTGTCACGTTAGCCTCTCAATGTGGATTTGCGCTACAACAATAATGCATAAGCAGCGATGAATGCATTGGAGGCCTGTTACATTTAGGACAAAGTGCTATTACATCTAGGACTTAATTACAGTTAGGACCAAATGTTATTACATTCAGGACTTTATTACATGTGGGTCTTCACATGGTGAATATCATTCACCCCCCACCCTACCCCCTTCGGTGATAAATAATGACCGGTCCTTAATGAAGTTGTCAGAAAAACGTTTTGCATAATTAGAGGTCTCTTCGTAAAACCTGAACGAATGTTACTACAATGATATATCACAACAAATAAAGGTATCACTATGGTAATCCAGAATTTCACTGAAGAGCCGTCGAGACGGCTAATGATTTTTGAACGTGTTCGTGTTTTACTTAAAAAATTTCCCTTTTTTCAATTTTTTTTTTATCAATGCCGCCCTCCAATTAGTGCCGCTCGGTAATAAATGCCGCACCTGAGCCACAAGCAGCTTAAAAAAATTAAAGAGCTTAGTAAGGATAATAAATTTGTTTAGAGATACTCGAGTGTCATTTGTTAGGGTTTTCTAATTTTGGTTTACGCATGTTTTGCCCCTTGGCCATTGCAAGTTCACCTCTTGCCATCTTTGAGAGTGCACCCCCTGAAAAAGCAAGTTCGCTCCCAAATCCTGTAACTATATATTTTTCTTACGGCAAAATATATTCCTTCTCTGTCGAAGTTTGGGGGCAAATTAGTCTGACTAATTGAGGAAGGTGGCAGGGGGCGAACGTATTCATGATCACAATCGTCTAAGCGTTATTTGTACTTTTTTTACAACTTCAGTTTAATTACATGATCAGTCTGATAAAAAAGGACGAGAGAAACATGTGAAGAATCAGATGAAAGAAGAGAATGGACATATCAAAAGGGAGATATATAAATGTATTTATAGGATTGAAATATTTTGAAAAAGTTCCATGTTTACTATCCTTGACTCAGCAAAGTAAATGTCAAACTTTAATCTGCTATAATGTTACACCTGTGTACTTTCTTAATCTATAATTTTGCGACTGTTGGCTTGGCTCCTCATCGTCGAGACTTTTAAACGGCGAGACATCATTTGTATGAGAAAAAGTCAATACTCCTTCTGAGTAGACATCCAGCCCAATTATCTTTGCAAAATAGCTTCCGAGAAATCATGATATTTGTAACTCCCCTCAAAAACAATTTCAACGAAGAACGCCTTTCTTTTCGAAAGAAACAAAGCCGCCCTGCGGCGAGACATTTCCGCGCTTTGCCACACAATATACGTTATCTCAGTTGAATGGGGGTGTTAGGGTACAGTTGTAATAAAACAACAAAAAATTACTTACATTGTGTGGTTTGGAGAAAAGTCTGTTAGTTTCTCAGAATACTCTTGTTAATTATGTGAGATTTTCTTAGTTTTTTTTTTTTGCAGTACGGTTGTCAGGCTCGTCTGCTAATTTTCGCAAACTATATTTTCAGCATTCAAGGAAGATTTGTGAATTTTCAAGCTTCCACAAGCAGGATACGAATTGCTGATAAAAATTATGCTCTAATTTACAGCTGTTTAACAATTTTTCGTTTATTTACGTCGCTTTTAAATTGAAGTATGCTTTATCAAAGCCTTTTTTTTTCGACTTTTAGAGGATTTCTTCTTTAAAATATGCGGTTTTTAAAATACGTAAGCATTCAAAGTTCTTCCATTTATTGGGTTCCTGGAGCGGAAAACTGAAGCGAAATCTCACCAAAATGTTGACACTGAAAGCGTTTAGATTTTGCCAAAAGTTAGGTTTCACTCGTTTACAAAACACTTACCATTTCCACGTAATTTAGAAGTGAAACCTTCTTCGCTTTAAATCTCAAGAAAGCACATAGATTCGCAGCATCACATCCATTTGGCATTGTCTCAAGATCTCTACATTTACGAATAACTTATTGCTATTAATCAAGGAGAGAAAATCCTTATAAATCTTTCATAGAGTCCCTGCGTTTTTATTTTTCCAAAACAATGTTTTCCCACGTACTACAGTTTGGAGATAATAAACACGATCAATTTTCTTTTTCATACTGAACGAAGACCTTAGTTCCACTATTTCTCGATCTCTCATCGTCGGAGGGAGATAGGACAAGAGGCAAACAATTTACTAAGAACTTTGAAAGATAAAAAGTTTTTAAGACGGTAGTTTCCATCAACAATGTAGATGAAATTCTCGATAAAAAGTGTTTTATTAAAACTTCAAACTCGAAAGGAAGCAATTTGCATGGTACGGGCGATTTAATCATAGTTTGGGGTCTCTATCACGCAACCTAGTCTTTGTATGGGTAATCACATGATTTTGAGTGCAATTTGGAAGAAATAAGCACGAGTAAATTTTTTCAAAGACTAACAAAATTGCATGAGCCAGTAGGGCGAGTGCAATTTGTGGTCTTTGAAAAAATTTACAAGTGCTTATTTATTCCAAATTGCACAAGAAAAATCATGTGATTAGGTATTAATAATATACATGAAAAAATACGAGGTGGCTCATCATAATTATGCAGAAGAAAAGCGCGCGCATCACGTGCAAAAATAATTTATTCAAACCCTGCATGTGACATTGTGCGTTCGGTCAAAACAACCGCGTACGATCAAAACAATAAGATAAAATAAAATTTTCACATCTTTAAGGCGCAAAAAGGTTCAAAGTCCGGCCAAACAGTTCAAGGAATTGTTCAGTGAGTTTGGTAATTCTGTGAGTTTCTTTGATTATTGACCAATCAGAATGTCTGGTTTGTTACTGTCTTCGCGCTGAATTTACCCGCTTCTGCACTGAATTAACTCTCTTCTGCACCGAATTACCTGAAATTTGCATTTATCTTAACCAATCAGAACTGAGTAGTTTTTTCATGTATATTATTGGTACAGGTTGCGAATTATCAGGGAAAATAAACAAACAAACAAAGAGAAAATTAATACTTGCAAAAGATAGGAATAGGTCACGCTGAACAGTTTGTTTACGAGCTTACTTTTAAAATTTGCTATGTTGGCGTTTAATTTTGATCTGTCGGTTTTACGAAGTGCTGGAAGAGTTAAGCACACAAAACCAAAATTGGATATTAGCTTTGGAACTTTGGCTTATCAACTGTGTATTTTAGATTCATTTTAACGTCGTCGAAAATGCACAAGCAACGGAAAATGGTTACTCTCTCAATAATTTCTTTGAGAGCTATAAGCTGGCTTTTAAGTCTTTTTTCTTTTAAATTAAACGGCATTCCATGCCGAGTAACAGGTTAAGAAAAGCTTAATTCATTTATTTCACGCAAATTAACTCTATGCACTACGGACTTGGCCCCACATTGACGATGTATTATGCACCAAAAGGTCAATAGGTAAGACAAACGATCCAGAAAAACTTAACCGTGAGAAAGCCTCGTCCTGATATTGCAACAATTTCTCCCAACTGACTTCCATGAAAATGAACAGGATAGAGAAGGGAGAATTAGGGAAGCAGATCCGATTGTTAAAATTATAAGGACAGGTATTGAAAGCTTTTTCAAGGTCTTCGTAGCTATAAAGAGTGAAAAACATGTTAAAGTTCATTTTTCTTGGAATTTTATTGAATCTTTTTCATTCCAGCATCAGTATGTGCATATTCTCAATACTAATCTCTGTACATTTCTCAAGGTGCTGTAGAGGAGAATTTTCTCAGTAATCAAGAGCGTCTTAGGTTGGGGATCAATTCCTTTATTCTCGTGACTTGAATATGTGTCACAGGGGTGATATTCAAAGGAGAAATTACATGCTGGTCATTCTTCGCGGTCAAAGGTCTGACGCGTTTAATTTCATGAATTGAAATCCGCTCCAAACGAAATCAGATCAGAAGACGAAGAATGCAAATGCTAACCCCGGTAAATTGATTTTTTTTTTTTTCAAGTTTTCCCGAAGAGATATCTAATGAGAGATTAGCTGTAACGGGCGCTAATCACTTAAAGTGAAGGTAAGCAAAATGACTCCATTTTGGGTGAAAAATACCGATTCTTTACATAAAAATAGATTTCTTCGTTTGTTGCTGAACTTGTTTGTGGGGAAACGACTTGACTTATACGAAGCATAAGCTATCTATCGTGAAGCCGTTGGCCCAAAGAAAACGCAAAGACTGATGGAAAAGGCATTTATCATTTCAGTGAACTGTCACTCAAAGATAGAACAGTTATTGTTGACTGATTAATATTCATCCACTAATTAAACATGGCCAGGAATATTTATTTATCAATTTTTTCGCTTGATGAAAATACAATTATTTTTTATCCTTCGGAAGTCTCTACTCTCTCTCAGTTTGTTTTTTCTGTTTTTGCTATCTTAAAAGAAACAATCTCCTTGCGAGATAGTGATAATAACGTCTACGGCCTTGGGCGCCAATATTTTTGGCACATATCTTTAACAGCTTGTCTCGTCAAGTCTCTAACAGCGGCTTTCTTTGGGGAGAGAAATATTGAATTATGAAACAAAGGACTGAGTTTTATCACCTAATATTCCAAACCATGCTAACTTCAAAATAATAAATTCATTTACTAAAAGTATTCTTCATTGAATTAACGGTGGAGTTTGCCTTTCTGGGACAATTCAGGAAAGAACTAAATTAAAAAAGCTACTGTTGATGTTATTTACATTTTGTCGAGGCAAAAACGAACATTGTCCGGTTACTAATGACACTAAGAAATTTACGCATTGTAAAAGCAATGAATTTTTCACAATTCAGATTTGTATTAATTAGCAAACATTGCGCTAAGCCATGGACATTGATAGAGCGCCTTCTTTTGATTCTAAAAATTCACTTTTTATGAAGTTTGTAAAACGTACGTCCGCTGAGGTCAACGTTTTCTCTCCAATGTAAGATCTTTCGTTGGTTAATTTGTACGTGAATGGGTGGTCATGGACTTGATGAAATGACAGATTGTTGTATGTATAGCCCACTGCTTGTTCTACACGATTGTTTACACGCGACAGCGAGTTCGCAGCTGCAGTGTCGAGAGAAAAAACCGGAAAAGAAAAATTAAAGCAGGCAGCCTGAGAGGTGCAATTTTCACATTTTCAGCAACAATTAATTTCTTCAGGCGATTAAAGATTTGACTGTGGGTAGCGCGCCTCGCTGTGTTCGGGAACAATGAGGATTTCAGGTTGTTTCGTTGGCCACTGTTTCATCCGAGTAATTTTAACCCTCGATTTCCTTTCGTTTACACACCAGCAATTCCATAACTTTGAGCACAAGTGGATTTGGAAAGATGGCGATATAATGCTCAAGGGATTGTTCCCGATAACTTCACAGGAAGGTGGAAAATGCGAGCATTTAAAACCAGACGGAATTACTTGGATGACGGCAATGATATACGCGGTCGACTTGATCAATAATTCGACTTCGCTTTTGCCAAACACAACCATTGGCTACCAAATCGAGGATACATGCGAAAGCATTCCTAAATCGATGAGTTATGCCATAGAAATCGTTTCCAAATATCGATCGAATTCGATTTGCATATCTCGCCATGATTGTTGTCAAAACAGCAGTATTTCCCGTGCAGGAGATCGACGAATCTCTGCGGTTATCGGTCCTGCAGTTTCGTGGATTTCTATCCCTGTGGCAAGGCTGCTGGGTTTGTATGGTATTCCACAAATAAGCTACGCTTCAACAAGCCGTATTCTCGGAGATAAGACCCGTTACAACTCGTTTCTCCGAACTGTGCCTTCGGATGAGTTCCAAGCGCAAGCTATCGCCAAATTCGTTCATCATTTTCAGTGGAACTACGTGTTTTTAATCGCGAGTGATGACGATTACGGAAAGTTGGGAGCCGCTGCGTTTAAAACCGCAGTTAAGAAGTTGAATGTGTGTATCGCCAACGACGAATACATTGCTTTCGGCTCACCCAATTCTGACCGAAAAATTGAAGACGCAATGAACAAGTTGAAAACTGCGGAGCGAGCAAAAGTTGTTATCGTCTTCAGTTACTTTGAACAAGGAGAAAGATTGTTAAAACAGGCGGAAAATATGAAAGTTACAGATCGCACTTGGGTAGCAAGTGATGGATGGAGCTCCCTTGGTTCTGAAATAGCTAATTTGAACGTGAGCCATTCCATGCTACAAGGACTATTTAGCTTCTCAATTCGTTCAAAAAAGGTAGAAGGATTCGAGAGGTTTATACGAGAATACTCAATTCGAGACGCTGCGAATAATTCGTGGTTTACCAAGTACTTAGAGGAAACTTTGCATTGCCATACGACCCTTAGTTCAAACTCTGATCCTTTGCAACTCAAGACGCCTACATGTAGCCCTAATGCAGTGCTGCCTTCTGGCCAAGAAATTGGAAAAGATTTCGTGGCTAATGTCATAGACGCTGTTTTGGTTGTAGCCCATGCATTGCATGATATTTTTACTTGCAACGAGTCACACTCGCCAGGACATTGTCCAAACACGAGTTCACTGACTATGACCCCTGAAACGTTGTTCAAGTCTGCGTCAAAGGTTCATTTCCAAGGAGTTGATTTCAATAAGGTAAAATTTGACAAAAATGGTGAACGTACTGCCAGTGATTACGTGATAAGAAATCTTCGACTAAACAGAGACAAACGCTTAGAATACGCTGAAGTTGGCTACTGGAGTAAGAAGAATCACAATGTGAGTTTTTTGATCAACGAAAGCTTGATCAACTGGAATTCAAATAAGAAACCGCTGTCCACTTGTTTCCGTGTGTGCCAACCAGGTGAGCGAGTGGTTGGCCCATCAGAATGCTGTTGGAACTGTCAAAAATGTCTCAAAGGCACTGTGAGCTCCAAGTCGGGTTCCACGAACTGCACGCCGTGTAACGAAACCCATTATGCAAATGAAGAGAGAACTCGGTGTGTCTTACGTGAGGTAGTCTATCTCAAATCCTCCGATCCTGCAGGTATTGCCATAATAACGCTTGGGATAGCTGGCATCGTTATCCTGACCGCTGTGACAGTTATTTTCCACCGTGAACGTAAAACACCAGTTGTTATGGACTCCAGTCCATATCTTCTAACCCTCTTCTTCGTTACTTTGTACCTGTCTTTTATATTGGCCATTGTTCAAGTAACAAGTAAGCCGACCAACAGTTCATGCATTTCTGTGAGTGTCTTACTGCTGTTAATATGTATGTTATACTCGGCTTTTTTCTTAGCCAAGTCGAAGACTGCCACGAAATTACTTCAGTCAGCGGTCTCTCGTGTTACGAGTATGCGTACGGATTACTTACAACTCCTTGAAGTGGGCGTGGTAGTAGTGCTTCAAGGAATTTTGATAATCGCATGGCAAGCTACAGATTTAACAGTGGCTCGTTTCCAGAACCAAGACGATAACACGCGATTACTTGAATGCTTCGAGAGTTTTACGGCTTCTCATATAATTTCCGTCTGTTATCCTGTATCAGTTCTTGTGCTGGCAACTCTTCTGGCGTTCCGCGAAAGACGTTTAACCGAAAATTTCAACGAATCAAAATCTATGAGCTTCTCCACTATTGCTCTCTGTATCCTTTTAGTTGCATTTATTCCTACTTATCGCTTTGTTGTGGGAAACAACCGCACCCTTGTGGTAGCTTTTACCTTGTTCGTGGCAGCTTTCGCCTGCATGGGCTGTATCTTTATTCCAAAACTTTACATCATATATTTTAGACCGGAAAGAAACACTCAAAGAGCCGTGCACGAAACGAAAGAGCAGCACGTTTCTAATACGGGAACCTCTCCGCGCCAGACCACCTCGGACACTCAGTTGAGCCAGGACCTTGGTCAGATTAATCATGGTGCGAGTGTAACTTTAACCAACGGTAGAAAGACTTCTCATTTGTCACGTGATAACTTAGCTCCAGTCAACGAAAAGGCAGAGGAACGGGACACTGATGTTTCTGCCCCTGGTGAGAACAAAGACGAAGAGAAGACGAAAAGTGAAGAGGACGAGATAAGTAGCATAAGTGGAGTACTGACTTATACAGTTGTATGATTGGATATTACTCGGAGAAAACGATACACTTTGAAACGTTGAACTTGCAGAATACGGTAGAGAACTTAGACTTAGTTCTTATTGACCGAGCGGGAGGTCTGTATGGGAGAATCTTGACCGAGGTCGCCAGTACAGACCGAACGCATTGAGGTCTGTACCAGCGACCGAGGTCAAGATTCTCCCATACAGACCGACCTAGCTCGGTTAATAAGATGTTTATTATATGGCTGTGTCTTATATGCCGATCTTTTATATTCATTGTACCTTTTTTTTCTAGACCGGTCTAGTTGGGAAAATCCAGACCGCTTTCAATATTGATTTCAGCCAATCAAATTCGTGAATTTGGTAGTTCCCAGTCCTTGTGAGACACAGCCATGAAATAAATCAAGATATTAATCCTTTAGCCTCTAAGAGTGACTAGCATCTGGTTTCTCTCCGCAATAACATCCCTGAGTCAAACGTTACGGTCACGAAAATAGATGAAATGATCACCTACTAAAGAAGCTCTTCAGTAGATGCTGAACAAATTCTCCTTGTCTGGCCCTTAGGAAATGTATAGAGAACAGTATGGAGAATATGCACACAGATGTTAGGGTGGGAAAGGTTAAGACGTTAAAATCATCATGAGAAAGACGGATGTGTTGATCTTTTAACACGATGAATAATCACAATTTTATAAAAACATCGACAGTGATTTAGTGTGTTCTGTACTCTTGTCGACTGAGAACGATATTCGTGCTCGCAGAGTCAAATGTTGTGGATTCACGAGGCGCACCTAAACCACTGTTGGTTTGTTTGTTTGTTTGTTTTTATCACAATATCGACGTCAAATTGGCGCGTCATCAATGTTTGAGAGGTGATAAAGACATTGCGTGACACTTTGATTCGAGCAGCGTTGTCTGTGCAGTTATCGACAGCTGCAAATTGGATTATTACGTTGCGACATTACTGCCAATTGTGGTAAAACAACATACTCATGAACATGTATGGAGACGTTTACAATGCGAGATTTCAATAACTGTTCATATTGCTATTGTAATTTATTATAGACCGCCTTTCACGATTGAATGTCGTAAAACTAAAAGAAAATGAATCAGAGTGACTAATCAGAGGGTAAGAAAATATTAGAGAGATCCAACGAGAACAATTGAAAGGCCATGGACCGTGGGAAACTCGGCCGAGTCGCGATTCATTTTTAGTTTTACTTTTGATATGCTGTGAAGGTGGCGCACGTTACTGATAGAGCCGCGGGTTTCGACTGAGTGTCATAATACCAAAAAACAGCCGATCAGAACAAAGGAAAAAACTTTCACAGCCACTGAGAACTCAAAGTAAATAACCATACTATTAAAAACGCGGGGAAACACGGGCGACCAATTCGCGATCGGCTTTAGTTTCGCATCTGATTGGTTGAGTAAGTGGTGCGAGTATTATGGACCCATCATTGAGCGAAGTTAAGTAAAAAACCAGTGTAAACTCGGATCACTTTCCACATTCAATTGAAAATTGCTCCATCCTCATTTGCTACTTTGTCATCCCGACGTGATATCCTCCAAAAATTCCAAGTGCCTGAATATGGTAAAAATGACATATGGTCATCGCATGGCATAATTTGAAAGATTTGATTTTACATATTTCATTCGATTTATAATTTGATGCATGAACAATGTTAAACGTGATTTTGAAACAAAATATATTTTTTTTTTCTAAAATAAAATTTTTTTTCTCATAATAAACTTAGTGTTCTTTGGATCTATTTTTTACAACTCGTTAGCACTGAAACCACCGATACGCAACGTCTTGCCTTTAATATCAGTTTCCAGTAAAATGCCTTGAAAAGAGGTTCATCAAAAGACCGAAAACCAGAGTAGCAACAGCTCCTTACGAACCGCGCTTTCCGCATTATTTTTCAAAATGGCGGCGTCTGAAGTTGAATTTTTAGCACGGTTGGGGAAGTGTTTCAAACGGCCAAGGTACTCTTTGGAATCTCAGAACGCAGTTAGAGTAAGTTTTTATTCATACTGTTTAGCGAGAAAGATAAATATCATATAGCTTCTATGGCACACCTCATTAAAGATTAATACAAAAGGAAGTCCTATACGTAACAGCTACAGTGGAATCCCGATTTCTCGAACCTCCAGAGGAAACGCAAATTGGTTCGATAAATCGAGAGTTCGAGAAATCGGGGGTGAAATTACAAGTGAAGCAAATCCAAGGGAAACAAGGTTTAGTTCGAGATATCGGGAGGTTCGAGAAACCGAGGGTTCGAGAAATCGTGATTCCTCTGTATGCCACAAGCATGGGTGAAAATGTCATATAAGACACTGTTTAAAGTCTCTCGAGCTACGCGGGTGCGCAAAACAGGTGAAGATGTAGCATTGAAATCGTCCCATAAGTCTTTACACTCCTAGATCGATCAAAAGATGTTTTTTTTTTTAACTCATCAGTTGAAATGGATTAACTTCTTTTTGAAATTCTTTCTTCGCTTTGACGTAAATATATTATTGTTCGCGGTCGAAAAGTCTTCCGGTTCTTTTGAACTTAAACTTGTGGTTTCTGGTGACAGTATTGGTACGGTGAATTTTGACCCCCAGGTGTTTTCAGTTTCAAGACAAATCATCAGAACAATTATTCACGGGACGCTATCCACAAAAGAAAAGCTCCCTTCCCCCCCTTCCCAGCCCCCCCCCAAAAAAACCGAAAAGTAAAAACAAGAAGTTAACTCTAAAATAAAACGCGTTTAAAATGAGTTTATAATCAGAAAACACACATTCGTAATCATGTGGCGATGTTTTGGTCTAAAACAAATTACACCATAAATTATTTATAGTTTCTTGTTGCTCCGATTAGAGCATGAATTTTTAAGAGGCTGTGAACATTTTATCAAGATGTGTGAAACATAAATGAGACAATATTTAAAAAGCATTTTGGGTCCTTTTAAATGATCTTTAAAGTGCTGCCCTATTCGTTAAAAAAGGGGCGTTTTCTGCAATTTCCTCGCGTGGTGTTTTCTCCATAGAAACCCCGGCGTTTTTCGGATGAATGATATAGGTAAATTTAGGCCGCATTTGAATATTTCTACTGTGTGTTGACATTGCACGTGATTTTAAACTTTAAAAGCCTTAACGTCAATCATCAAAAAGAAAAACATTTGTTTTTGTCTCCGAAGCATTTTTTCACTTTAATGGGGAACGAATTGAAGAAGATGAGGGATGTTTATAATAGGAATATAAACAAATTGAAAACCTTGACCAAATTAGTATGAAAGTCACTGCGAATGTGGACAACAATTTAATTAGCATGACAAAGGGCTTAGTTGTCCTAACCCACCTTTTAAAGGTGTTTGCACGGAACGACCCCACTATTATGTTTCTTTTGTGACAGTCAAATGTTTAATTCTGTTCGTCTGTTACGGAGCATGCCGAGCCTATTAAGTTTCACTCGACTTCGGCTCAGACAATTTTTCGCTCTGTTGCTTTCAAGAGGTAACCGCAGAATGTAAACACGCTGTACTTCAAGAAGGCCACTGTCACAGAGGAAGTCGAAACCGCGATAAGCGCTGCGCTGTAGCCCGATCGGCGCAAACGCACGTCAGCGCTTGTCGAGAATCGACTAGCATACGTCGAAGAGAAGGAAAAAATTGGAAAGGATGCACGAGAGATGAGTTAATTACTAGTGATATCGTTCAAAGGAGAGCGTCGTCAATTGAAGTATGGAATTCGTTGAAAGGGTTTTACGAGTTGCCATCTGTAGTTTGTTAATTTACGGTTGTTTCGAAGGAAACGTTGTTCAAATCGGAGCCCAGAAAGCGGCTCTCAGCGAAAGTACAAACAACGGAGGCGGGGAAGAAATAAGTATTGTGCTTTTAAACGATGAATTTCGCAAAATATCGAAGAGCGAACACAGGAGGATAACAAAGAGAGACGTCGAAAGTAAGGAACCTGTAGATGACGAAGATACAAACATTCTTGCAAATGTTTCAATCGTCTCGCCAAGCAAGGTTAAGATTGATATATCACCAACGAGAAAATATGAAGGAAATTCGAGCGATACCGTCGCTATTAATCCGCAATACAGGACTCCAGGCATAATGAGTGCCAGCATCGATGCTATAGTTACAACAAGGTTCGTAAAAAGCTCAATTCATACAACCTCCATTGTTTCATCTAAAATTCGCGCTACTGAAACTTTCAGTGAATTACTCAGCCGCTCAGCGATTATAAATCCTAAAAAACTGCCAACAACCCGACCCATAACAGAAGAAGGGACTCCTAAAGGAGGCAGCGATGTAGAGACGCAAAAAGATCCGAAAGAAAGCGAAAGGAGGAAGACCCTCTTTGGATTTGTGACGATCGAAATTCTCGTGGCACTGCTGGCAGGCGCAGCTTGCGCTGTAATTCTGCTCATATTTTTGGTATATCGGCTGAAAAAGCGAAACGAAGGAAGCTATGAACTTCAGGAATCGATGAGCTTAAAAACAGCCGCATACGCAGAAGAAAAAGAGGTTTTTGTATAAATTGGTTGATGTGTTTACCTTTTGTTTCGACGTAAAGATCGATGTAGATTTGTGACTTTATTACAACCCCTTAATTTAATGGCTGTAATATAACTCGAGAGAGACAATTTCATTTCGAATGGCCAGTCGTTGAATTCGATAGAAAAATATTCGGCTTAAAAAGTGAACTCATCTTGAAGTATTCTTTGAGATTTTGCTGACAGCGTGTGAGCTGAAAGCTATTTCACTCAGCAGGTGTTTTGCAAGTTTTCGACTCGCCTGTGAAAAAGGGAAAGAAATTGCATAGACTAATCGACTCGATCTTTCGTTAAGAAGCGATAACGCTGATTTCCAAGCCTGTTAAATGGATATGTTCTAAAATGTATGAATAGTTCTCCGATAGAATTGTATTTATTATGCGTCGAAGAAAACTGTAGACAAAAGAAATAGAAGTTTTAATATGGAATATGCAAATATTTGAATTGGAGAGTGGCGATGGCGTAAAAGTCATTTTTAAAACCTATTTACATGGTGTGTACTATAACGATATTTTATCGGATAAGATGAAAAATTTTTTCTCTGGAATATATGTGACTTTCTATGACGTTTAAGAAACTGAAAAAAGCATTTTCAAAATTTCATTTTCGATGGCTATTGTCTTTATCATAATTGTTACTGTTTTCAGAATTTCAATTCTGTTTTCATTAATAATTCCCTGCTGTTGAATACAGCTCAAACTGGAAACGATCGGTTTAAGCTGGAAGAAATTAGACTAGTAAATTAACCATGTCTTTTCCTACTATAATTTCGACCAAGTCTTGATAACATTAAGCCTTGCTGAAAAAATTTCGAAATTTGTTAAACAAGAGACAAATCAGGTGTGGGATTATATTAGTATTTTTTTTAGCAGTGTTTTTAATTTTCCAAAAAACGACACTCCCTATCGACACATAAGCTATAATTATAATCACCAATACAACTAGAAAGATGGATTGCGGAGTTCAACGAAGAACGTAACCTTTTCAAGCGATAAGACAAGAAGAAATGATATTGTGCGACTTTTGGCCTCTCAATGTAATTAAAAACAAAAAATTTAAGTTGCTTTGGCATTTCCGGACTCTTTATATTGCTAGCTTAGTTTACTTAAGCTCTGTTGTTATTTAGCTTTGTGCTGTTTTAGTTTGAATGAAAATGTTATCTTGAAAGAAAGACATTTCATGTAATAGAAGTGCAAAAATGAATGGAATTTTTAAATGTTTTTTTCCCTAGTCAAAGAACATTGTTGTCTATCCATGTTTTCTTTCCTGACAATATTGGTTTGGTGACGATGAAAATGCTAAGAAACAAGATAACTTAAGCCTTCTTTGGCAACGTTTTAATGACTTATTTTTGCGGTAATTTTTCTGTCAGCACTTGATTTAATTGCCATTTCTAATCAAAAACAAAACTATCAACACAACAGCTTTTGTGCCTTTGCTTAAGAAGCAATAATTATCAGATTCCGAAATCAAAGTGGATTTGAGCTTTTTCCAAAATGCGCAACGATTAGTTTGCTTTGTTGAGTCCTGGTTAACTAGTTATGTGCGCAGATTAATCTGTTTTCCGCAAGATTTTCGTGGAACCCTGTTCGTTTCCGCTAAATTCATAATCTCAAGATTAAAATACGAAATCCTTTGTCTGCCACCGACTTGCCAGTGATTGGTTTTTTTAGGATCTTCGAGCAGTTGACAACTGGGTGTTGAAAGTAATCCTAGTTTGCATTGGTTTTGCTTTACTTCGCTCTGTGATTGGTCTAGAAAAACTCGCGCCACTCTCTCAACCAATCAGATGCAGAACTGACACCAATCATAACTTGGTTGCCTTCGTTTTCCCGCGCTTTTGGCAGCTCGGTTGTTTTTTACCGCGGGTTCTCACGGGCCTTTTAAGATATTTTCCTTTCTTTTGATTGGCTGTTATGATTACTTTGATTTTGATTTAATGATCGATACTCAATCGAAGAGCGCTCTATGCTGAGCACTAACGAGCTTTCTGTTTTTCTTTACTCTTCTAATTTATCAGTCTCATGATACCACTCCTAAATTCTTGTTTATTTGTTTGTTGGATTCTTACAAACTCGAGAGAAATAGTGTGAGAAAAATTTAAATGACCTTGGCCTTTCATCAATTTAGCCCAAGCTTACGATTTTTCTTCTACGCCCCCACCCACCCCTCTCCCAAACAAAGAAATAGAAACGATAAGAATAATAATGATAATAGGGAAGCAGGGATGGGGGTAGTGGTGAGACGCTCGCCTCCCACCAATGTGGCCTGGGTTCGATTCCCGGACCCGACGCCATAAGTGGGTTGAGTTTGTGTTGGTTCTCTTATCTCCTTCGAGGATTTTTCTCCGGGTTCCCCGGTTTTCCTCCCTCACCAAAATCCAACATACAACTGATTCCAGCTGGTTGTAAGCTGTGCTCCAAGATCACACATGGACCGTTATAGCGGCTGCCAGAGGCGCCATTGTAAGCTTTCGGTTCGACCTTGTTGAGCTGCGTCGTTGCTGTACTTTGCGACGGCGATTAGCGGTGAAAATTATTATTATTAATATTATTATCATTATTTGATAGAAAGAAATTGTTGACGCACTCCTTTGGTGTGGCTTTGCTAACAGAAAATTCTTGCGTAAAATTAATTTCCAAACATTTTTGTTTTCATTTAGCTAAAATATCAGTGAATCATTCGATCCCCAGATGAAGAAAACACATCGCATACCGTTACACTCGTCTGTTATGATCACGTCCTTATAGCGTCTAATAATGGTAAAATGATGTTTAGATTTTTCGTCTCATCCCCAATTTGGTGTGCTATTCAGGTGTTCCGGAGGTCAGACTACTTCCCTTCTTTGGATCGAACAAGGCGTCTCTGAAGATAAGAAACTGTCTGTGTGAAAGCAACAGCTTGATGGCTTCTGTTGGGTGAAAAGCATTTAAATTCGCTGTGTCTTTACGTTTTCGGCTTATTACTCCTTTGTTGTTTGTCTATCTGAGCAAACTTGGTTCTTTTCCTCCTGGAATTCCGGCACCCTAGGAAATTTTCTTCGAACACAAAAATCATGTACTGACCACCTCCTTCTAAACATATACATTTAAGATAGGATAGGATAACTTTATTTATACACGGTTTTTCCATCAGTTGATTTAGTTAATTCTATATTAGAAACCTATCTATCTAACTACAATAATAATTTGATAATAACAATTCAAATAAAAGAAATAAATAAAAAACTCTGCTTTTCATGGAAGCCGTGTCTAAAATTTACTTAAAATTAAGATCTTACTTTAAACTGTGGCCGGATTTAATTTAGATTTGAAATCAGTCAGCGAAGACGCTTGTCTTAGGTCTACAGGTAAGTTGTTGCACAATTGAGCTCCGCTGTACAATTACTTCTCTTGAGAAAGTCAGTTCGAGGTTGTGGAAGAACTAATTTGTTTTCGGTATTCCTTAAACGATAAGCACTTACACTGTCACGATATACAAATCTTGATCTCAGATAATCAGGTGTCATACCATGTAATGTTTTTTGTACATTAGGATAGATTTCTGTTCCAATCTTTGATAGTAGAGTCTTCGCCACCCTAGCGCCCGGAACAAATCATCCAAATTACTATCATAGCTCGCTGACATTAGGATGCGAGCTGCCCGATTTTGCAGCCTTTTCAGCTTTTCAGAAAGGCCTTTGTTACAGTTTCCCCACACTATGTTGCAATAATCAAAATGTGGTCGAATAAAGCTTTTATAAACTTCAATTAAAACATTAAATGGAGTGAGATGCTGAATTCGTTTAATCGCACCAATGGCACAAGCTATCCTCTTAGAGATGTTTTCAATACGACACTCCCAATTTATATTTTGATCGACATAAACTCCAAGGGATTTAGCGGAGGTTACTTGTTCGTAACTTCTGCTTTGATGCAATAAGCAACTCAGTTTTTGTCATATTCAGGGTAAGTTTGTCAGCAGAGAGCCATTCGTATACATTGCTCAGGTCGTGATTAAGGCAATAATTTATATGCTCAATGTCAGTACTGGCAAGCGTCGGGCTGGTATCATCTACATACATTCTAGGTTCTGAATGTGTCAAACAATGTGGTAAGTCATTAATAGATACCAAGAACAAAAGATGTGCCAAAATTATTCCCTTGGGAACACCACATCTCAGACATTTCGGAGTTGACTTACAAGAATTTAAATGACAAATCTATGTTCGGTTATCTAAATAACAAGCAAACCATTGATGGCTGGTCCAACAAATCCCATAGTATTGCAGTTTTCGTAATAAAATATCGTGATCTACTGTATCACGATACCTTTATTACCTTATTTACCTTTCTAAATTCGCTGCCAAATGTGATCCGTCTTTATCCCTCCCATCCCTCGACTATCTAAGTTCCTGTTCAGTTCAGTGTTATTTCTTTGGTGTTTGTTTGTCTTTGTGAGGTTTTCGTACCGTTAAAAATATTTACAGAGGTCCAAGAAGTATCGTGACTTAGCCGATTCCTTAAAAGTGCCGCTGTACTTAGCGACCTCTCAACGCGATCTTATCTTGATTGATTTTAAATGGTTTTTAAAAATAGCCAAATCTTGGTTAATGCATACAAAAATTAAAGTTAATTTCCCAAATTCAATCCGTTTTGATCTCTTTCATTCCTGGCCATCCTCGATCCCAAATAGTTTAAAGCTTCATTTTTGTAATTTTCTTATCTCATCACATTTATTTTTACAGAGGGCTGGCTCTTAAAGATTCCATAACAGTTGCACCCAGACGCACTTACTCGGCCACGTCTGAGTAGGTAATAGAACATGCAAATCGGCTCACTTCTCTCTATTTTTCTTTCTTTTGTTTTTACTCGTCAGGTATTATTTTAAGCATCATTATTTTTCAAAGGTTTTGCTTCCGTTCTATTGTAATTTTCAACTAGTGTTTCAGAAAACGGGCGCACAGCAGTCATCAAGTCAAGAATATTCCTTGGGCGACACCGGCTGAAGTTTCGTTTTGGTAAATGAAGTAATTCGCAAAAAATGGGCCAAGTATAGTTCATAAATACTGTATATATACAAAAAAAAAAAAAAAAAACCTATTTGATATGCACCGATAAACTTTACATATTCGCTTCTGAAAGTGAAAAAATTACTGACTGTTGCACAAACAGAAGTTCGCCGAGATCAAATCCTCAGAGTTTCCAAGATGACATCTCAACAGATTACCACCAACGTAGTTCGTAGAACTTATTTGAATTCCAGAAAAGGGTTCCGCCTGCGAGTAACGGATGATTTGGTCGATGGGAGTCAAAATTATGACAGTGATGTTTACAGTAAGTGGAATCCTTTACGTTAAATTTAGACATAGGTTTAAGCTATAAGGCAATCAACCATTGCAATCTTCCACCATTAATTTAATCTTCAATGAAGCTGGAAAGATGGTTGAGCCGGTAAAAGTTTGATTGGTTGTCAAGAATGATCCCACTGAAGCGATCTTGTAATGGCAGTTCCTGTTGCTAACTAACGTAACAGATTGAGACGTCGTTAGTTCTTCGCCAAAGGTCCATAATTTGGGAATTTGCTAGACCAACCTGATAAGCTTTTTAAAATAGCCCTAACGATTGGGCTTCATTGCCAGTAGCTTGCCAGGGCAACTGAACATCTTTGTCCCACCACTGTTACTTAGAAGGTGAAGAGTGGGTCGTTTGAGAGTATTCAGTGGTACCGGAGTGAAAGTTTGGCGAGAAATCATTTCAGTTACCGGCCGGCCATAATTTATCGTCTCGATAAGGGGGGAGGGGAGGGGCTGATTTTCTCCTCCTCTGTTAGGTCCTGTAGTATTTTAAATTCCCCCCTCCCCTTACTGGTAGTCAATTTTCTATAGTCTCCTCTTTAACTTAGTCAGAGATGACTGATCCTCCCTTCCGGTTCCCCCTGAAAACCATTTAACCCCCCAAATCCTCCAACATCCCTCCCCTCCCTGACGATAGATACGACTGGTCCCTTACTGCTGAGAGCTCAAAGTGAAATACAAAGGTCCATCAAAATTTCCATTAAAAGAAAAAAAAACGGCTCATTTAAATTCATAAAGCTTGATACAAAGGAAAATCCGAAAATGAACGCAGAGAGAACTTGAAAATATTCACACTATACGCTACTTATTTTCTTCTCAGAAGTTTCAAGATTGTCATGTTAGCTTATTATTCGAGTGGGTGGTAGTTTTCTAGATGTTGTGTGAATGATGATTCCACAGACGTTTAAAGCGTAGCGTCATGGGTGACAATTGAAAGCAAAGAGTAATTTTTTTTCATGGAATCTTTCTTTGAACGCGCGCTCCTAACGTCCGCGTTGGGTGGAGGGTTGAGAAGCATGTCGGGAAAAAACACATGGAATGTCTTTATCGATTTAGAAATAGAGATTTCTTTTCGTATGCAGTTTAAT